ACATCTGAAAAAGGAATTGCAGAATTTAAATTTGTTTCACTGAGTGCATGCAATTCTGGTGAATTTTGCAGGAGGTAAGACTCAACTGATGGAAAGTTGCTTCACAGACCGTGAATATTTGTAAAAGATATAAAACATTTAGGTGGTGGGGATGGTTTTTTAGGTTTAAAATTTTTGGTTACTTTTGTCATGATTTGGGTTTAATGAGAACTTGACTCATTCATAGATAGAGCACAGCCTCCTAATCAATGAGCTAAGCAGTTGTCTCAGTCCTGTTAATTAATCCTAAGCCATGACATAGGGCTTCTTATGTGGCCTTGACAATGCACACCAAAAGCATTAACAGGGACACTATCCATGCGCAACATGGCACTGTTAATACTCTGATATTTTGCAGCTGTTGATGGAATCAGCCTCTCTGAGAGCTACCACAGAGTTCGGGAAACCTTACTACCAGCCGGCCTCAGAACCATTAAACTGAGTTTTAGAGCTGTACCCTCATATGGAGATAACAGGAAGAGTTGCATAGCCATTATCAAAGAGGCATAAGCAAAATTCTATGAGTAGAGTCAAGGAGATTCAGCATTCATCATCCTAGGCAAGAAACATTGTAACACAGGTTACATTTACGCTAGCCTAATAGATGAAGAAGGGGTTCGAGGCTGGCTAGCAGAATTTTTATAAGCACTACCCTAAGTAGCTTACCTCCTTTGCTTACCCCTAAAGTCTTTGCCTAGGAGGCCTTCTACAAGACAGTAGCTGGATGCAGTTAACATCTGCCCAAGATGAGAATTTTTATCGAGACACCATCTCTAGCCTTTACTCAACCAAGAGCCCCAAGGCAGGGGATGTTTAGCTGGATGCAGTTAACATCTGCCCAAGATGAGTGCTTTTATCGAGACACCAACTCTAGCCTTTACTCAATCAAGAGCCCCAAGGTAGGGGAATTTTTAGTCGGAGTTTATTTCTCCTAGCCTTTACCTAAGAAGAGCACACTCTGCAAGGCAGCAGGGCTTGTGGCAGGTGGTACTAGGTTACGTGATACCAGTAGCAAGATTGATCTTGATTATCCTGACCTGACCTGGAGTAGTTAAAAGGAGTTACTTCCCGCAACAGTACTTTAAGAAAACCAGGCATGACATTTTGGAAATGCATTAGGAAAAACACTGCATCTAACAAAATACGGGAGTCTAGGTTTTGTAGTTGGAGTAAGTAAGCTAGTTACTGAGCTCACGCTGCATCAGAGAATAAACAGAACACAAACAAACATAAATTAACTTACAGGTGAGTCAACACCGCGCCAGAGGTTCAGACAGAACACAAACATACATAAAAAACATAAAGTAACTTACGGGTGAGCGAACACCGCGCCAGAGGTTCAGACAGAGCACAAACATACATATAAAGTAGGTTATAGATGAGCTAATACAGTAACTAAGGCACCTCTAACTATAAAATATATATATATATATATATATATATATATATATATATATATATATATATATATATGTATATATTACTATAGTCATGACTGATAAGATAGTACTGATGACAGGAAGCACACTCCTTCCAGGCTTTGCTTAGAAAGCAAATCCTGCAAGGCAGCAGAACATGGAACAGGTTGCACTGGGTTACGTGTTACCAGTAGCAGGATGATCATGAAGACCATACTCCTGACCTGACATAAGTTATTAATAGATTTATTAATAGATTAAAAAAAAATTATCACAATTTAAAAAAAATATAATATTTAGAAAAAGTTCTTATCTGTCTATTATAACAAGTTGTCAATTACCAGTTAACAGAGAAACTAAAGTACTTTTTTGTCTAATCAAAGTATTTTTTTCTCTAACTAAAATTAAGGTAAATTTTGACTTTAATGCTGGCCTTCCGATTCTAATGCCTAATCCATGCAATCTTCTTTAAGAGTAATTGTAACTACATTTAGTCCCAACTCATTCAACTTGTTGGTAATTATGGAACACCTAGCAAATCTATTTTCTTTTATTATTTTTACTAGCTTTCTCTCATTCCTGGGCCTTATTTTCTTTGATTGCATTTTCCTCTGAACATCTAATAAAAAAACATTTTTCAATGTCTTTGATTCAGTTCAGTGTTCTTTTATATCTAACATTTTCTTGATATTTCACTTATCTGGTGATGCTTCTTTCAGAATGTCTTCTTTATTTCTAATTTTGTAATTTAGAACTTTTAGAAGATTAACTTATTAAAAGTTATTTTAAAACTAATAAAAATTATAATAATATGGGTAGTTAATTCACTTCCTCTATACTGTATAAATTGGTTAACAGTTTTCTGTCCGAATGTACAATTAATGTAACCTGTGGTTTGAACTCTGTATATTAATAATTTATTTCCCAACTTCTCTACAGTTTTCAATATGTGCACATCAAAGAAATTCATATGATGTAGAGATTTGTTCAATATTATTCCTTGACAAATTGTAGACAAAACTAAGAAACCAGAATGATTGGAATTTTCAAATGGTCATTAGCTCAAAGTGCTGGAGTAATTACTTTTTTTTCTGTTTCTCTTTTTTAGTTTCATTTTCAGTTTCTTTGCTGATGATAAAACTCATCTTCTTTATTATCAGTACCCTTAGAGGAGTCTGATGCTGTTTAAACTAGGTCTCTGACTGTTGAACACTTTCCTTCTTCTCTTCTTCTTTATATCTTTTTTGTCTTCTTCTTTAGTTTCTCTTTTGTCTTTTGATTTTTTTCTGTCTTTTTACACTTTTTGTATAATTTTCAATCAAATGAACAATCAACTGTTGACTTTTTATTGACCAAATATAATTGACTTTTTATTAACCAATCCTCCTTTTTTAATCAAATAATTTTCAATCAAATGAACAATCAACTGCTCAAGCCTTTTCCTACTTTTTATTGACCAACTGAAGCCATTTCCTACTTTTTATTGACCAACTGAAGCCTTTTCCTACTTTTTATTGACCAACTGAAGCCTTTTCCTACTTTTTATTGACCAACTGAAGCCTTTTTCTACTTTTTGTAGTATAAGAAACATCTTGTCTTCTTTTATTGTGATTAATTTAAAATTCTTCACAAGCAATACAAATAGTTTTTCTATTTCTTGAGAATATGTTTCTTCGTTTCTTTACAGTATTTAGATGTGTGTTTTGAGTCATTATCCTGTTGCATAATAAAACCTGTGGCTAATTAGTTGCTCTCCATGAGGCATGGCATGTCTACATAATATTTTATGATATCCATTCTTATCGAGAATTCCATTTATTTTCATGAGATTACCAACCTGATCAAAAGTAAAACAGCCCCACACCATTACTCAACAACCACCATGTTTGATAGTAGGCTGTATACACTATGGATGAAATTTTTCAGTAGCTATTTTTTGCACATAGATCTGTCACTTTGTTCCAAAAACAAGATATTTGTCTCTCCACGACGCATTTTGCCAGTCTTTATCTGTCTAATTTAAATGTGCTAGAGCCCATTGAAGCCTCTTTTTTTGATTTATTGATTTTAGAAGAGGTTTTTGAACAGCTACTCTACCATTAAAGCCAAAAATTTTCAAGCAGTCTCTTACAGTTTTATCTGAAATAAGCAGCATTGAAGTTGGATGTTATTTCTTGGGCTCTTAATCATCTATTTTATTTACATGAGAGTATAATTGACTTGTCTTCAGTCTTAGATGTTTTGCAGGAACATTCAGTTCTTTTCCTATCTTTATTTGTATATTTAAACTGACGAATAGTATCACTGACTGTTGATTTTCAACAGTTTTTGAATATATCTAGTAGAACAACTATCATTTGCCAGAGCAACAATTGAAGAACATGTTTCTAGTGATAAATTACATTTCTTTGACATTTTATATTATTGTCTAAAAATAATCAAAATGCACTTTTATTAACTGAAAATTAAAAAATAATATCAAATTTAATTCAGCTATATGAAATATTTACTAACTTAATTTATTAATCTAATATATTATATTAACTTCAATGAAATGATGCTTTGATAACAAAAGAACAATTGAATTTTATTTACAAATTTTTTACCATGTTTGAACATATTTATAATACAAAAATGAAGAAAACAGATTTTACATTTCAATATTAAAATCACATTAGCACATCTTAATTGAATTATTTTATGGCTAATAAACAATTTTAAAATTTAATTTTAATTATTGCAAGATTATTTAACACATTAGCACATCTTAATCAAATTATTTTATGACATAAACAATTTTAAAATACAATATCAATTATTATAGGTAAAAAACTATTAAAACTTTAAGTGATCAGAAACCTTTGCTGGCAGAGTATAAATTGTATAAATTTATATATATGTGGGTGAGTGTTGGTGAGTGTGTGTGTGTATATTTATATATATATATATATATATATATATATATATATATATATATATATATATATATATATATATATATATATATATATATATATATATATATATATATATATATATATATATATATAGATATATATAGATATATATATATATATATATATATATATATATATATATATATATATATAGATATATATATATGCATATATGCGTGTATATATGTATATATATATTTATATTAAGTAGTAAAAACACTTATCTAATTTTCTTCAAAAAAATTTTTTTGCCATCAGTTGGCTCATCAGGAAGAATTGATGAAGAAAATTAGATAAGTATTTTTACTAATTTATTATTGCTCTGATCTTTAAGAAAATTGTAGAATATATTTGTAGAATACACTAACATACATAAGTAAGTATATACGCATACATATGCTTTTGCCAATTTAGGTTGGTATTAATGCTTTTAGATCAATTATACCTGCCTAAACCCAAACCTACCCCGTTACATCTATTTGTTAATGATAATTGATAATTATTTGTAATTTTACTGGATTTATAATATTTGTTTTTGTTTTATACTTTTTCTAAAGTATGTTATACTTTTTCTATATATACTAAGTGAATGAAGAAGCTAGTTTTGATGAAGAAAATCTAGATAATGGCTTTTGCATAGCTTGCAATCAAGATACTGGTTGTTGTAGATGCAAACATGTTTTAACATTATATTCATCAATAACAAAAGTTTTGTACAAGTTAAGATTATATGAACACATACTTTTTCCAGCTATCATAAATGTTGCACATAATCAGGTTGTTATTTTTTGTTTTAAAATCTTTTTTTTAACTTTTGAATATTTTTATTGGTTTACTTTAAAATATTTTTTACTAAAATACATTTAACATGAATATCTCAACAAAAATGATGAATTGTTTGCTCTATAAAGTTTTAAAGGTTTTAAAAGTTGAAACTTGGTTTACCAAGATTATCTTGGAATTAAAACCCATGACTTTTCAAATTTGACCTGACAATGATATATCACAGTTATTTTTTTCATGTTAACTTTTAGATTTTTGTTGGGAAAGGACATCTTTGACAATTTATTGCAGTTATTTTTTAATGTTAATCTTTGTAATCTTTATTTTTGAATGAAAATAGAACATCTTTTTATTTCATTCAACATCTCTATTGTTGACATTTTATGCTATTATGGTTATATTAAAACTCTGGTTAAAAAACTATGTTTTATTTATTTGTTAACTAACATGTAATGAGCGATCTTACTATAAAGTTCATTAGGCTTAAGGAAGCTTCAATGATTTGAGTATTTCTGGAGGAGGGGGGCAGAATATAAGGTTAAAGTTTCTGCATTGTAACTTTTGTATATTGCAAAAAATGGACAATGTTAAAGGTCATGTATGGCAATATATATATATATATATATATATATATATATATATCTGGTATCAAAATTAGCCAGAAGGTATTTGTTTCTATGCCTGCACTTAGATATTATTTCACTCCTTTTATTTAATAAGCTTGGATTTCTAGAAAATACAATTTCATATTTCTCATTTAAGCATAAATTACAATATTTTTTACGTAGGGTTCTAAGCACTGCACTTTTTAATTATTTTCCATTTAACAATAGAATTCAAATGAGCTTTTTTTAATTTCCAAAACTCCTTTGATAACTCAGTGTTCTGATTACTCAGTGACTTAGATAATTCAGTGTCCAGTATCCTGCACAAACTTTATATTTTTTTTACTGAGTTATCAAAAGGAGTTTTGGAAATTAAAAAAAGCTCATTTGAATTCTATTGTTAAATGGAAAATAATTAAAAAGTGCAATGCTTAGAACCCTACGTAAAAAATATTGTAATTTATGTGCAGGCATAGAAACAAATACCTTCTGGCTAATTTTGATAACGGTGATTATTTCAGTTTCTACGTTACTTTTTGTTGTTTTTTTGACGTCAGAACCCATTTTATTGTTGTTTTTGTATTTTTATTTTTTAACGGTTTTCTTGATTAATATATATATATATATATATATATATATATATATATATATATATATATATATATATATATATATATATATATATATATATATATATATATATATATATATATATATATATATATATATATGGGGGGGGGGGGCGATTCTCTTTTAGAGGATAAGAAAACTGAAAAGTTTTTTTTATTCCCTTTTAATGGGTTAAATGGTTTATAAAAGGTAATTTGTTAAAAATATGATGATTAAGAGGACAGTTTAATGATCATTTTAAAGTGTTTGTTTTTTCAACATTTAAGTTGTTTCAAGAAAAAAATCTTTCTTCTGAATAAAAAGCATAAAAAATTACATAGATAAATCATACTACTCCTATTATAGAAATAATTGAACCTAGTGAGCTAATCGCATTTCAAATAAATAAGCTGTCTGGAAAGTTTGCATATCTTCTAGGCATTCCTGCTAATCCTAACAAATGTTGTGGGAAAAGTTAAAATTACCCCTAAAAAAGTAATTCAAAAATTAATTTTACCGAAGGTTTCATTAATAGCAAATCCAGAAATTTTTCCAAATCAAAAATTAAATCCTCCAAACATAGCAAATACTGCACCTAATATGTATCATGTAATAAAATATCTAATAAGCCATTAGCTAAAATTACACCAGTTAAACCACCTAAAGTAAATAAAAATATAAAACCAGTAGCTCATAACATGGGTGTAGATAAATGTATTTTTCCTCCATACATTGTTGTACTAAATATTTTAATTCTCTGTTGGAACAGCAATAATCATAGTAGCTGCTGTAAAGTAAGCTCTAGTATCAGCATTCCTACAGTAAACATATGATGAGCTCAAACAATAAAACCTTAAAAGGCTAACTAAGTATATATCATCCCTAAATACCCAAAAACTTGATTTTTTGAACTTAAAATTGGAATAGTTTGTGAGATAATTCCAAATCCTGGAATTATTAAAATATATACTTCAAGATGATCAAAATAAATGTTGATATAAAACAGGATCTCCTCCAGCTTGATCAAAAAAATTTCTATTAGTCAGTAACATAGTTATTGCCAAAACAGTTCAAGAAAGAAGTAATTAAAATGCTGTTATTAATACATATCATATGAATAAGGGAAGTTTATCAAATGTTAAATCTGGCATTCTCATATTAAAAATAGTTGTAATAAAATTAATTGCTCCTCCAATTGAAGAAAACCCAGCACAATGAACAATAAAAATAGCTAAATCTACAGATCTTCCTGATTGAGCTAAAGGCCCAGATAAAAGGGGGTAGACAGTTCAACATGTACCTGCTCCTTGTTCTACTAAAGATGAGGTTAAAAGTAAAAGTAGTACAGGAGGAAGTAATCAAAAACTCAAATTATTTAATCTAGGGAAAGCTATTCTAATTAACATACTTAAAGCAGTTCCTATCATTCCAGAAAACACTCCAAAAATTATATATAAAGTTCCTATATCTTTGTGGTTAGTTGAAAACATTCAATGTGTGATTCAATTATACATTTATTTTTTGAAAAAATAATTAATTTTTTAGTTTTCCTATTATTGGAATAATAAATAAAAAATCAAAAAACTCGAAATTATACTGATTAATATGTAAGGTTTTTCTATAGTTTTAGAACCTAATCAAAGTAATAAAATAAAATTTGCTATAAATACTCAATATAATAATTTTCCCATAGGTCTAAAAGTCGATGAAATTGTTTTAGGGGTTGTCCATAAATCACTCTGGCATTATATGGACAGGAGTTACTAATGAATTAGCGTTAATAATATTTTCTGGATCACCTAAAGTATTAGTATAAAAAAAAAAGTATAAGTAGTAAAATAAATATCAATATAAAGAATCCATATACGTCTTTTATTGCAAAATATCAATGAAATGGGACTTTATCAAAATTGCTATTAATTCCTAAAGGATTACTAGATCCAACACTATGGATTAGTACTATGTGAATAAAATGCTAATACAAATGGAAATAAATAATGTAAACTCAAAAATCTACCTAAAGTAGCATTGTTTACACTAAATCCACCTCAAATTCATTGAACTATATCATCTCCTATATATGGAATTGCAAATAGAAAATTTGTAATAATGGTAGCCCCTCAAAAGAACATTTACTCTCAAGGTAATACATAACCTATAAAAGCAGTAAGCATCATTACTATAAATATAAGTATGACTGAAAATCAAATAAGTTTTTTTGATAGCCTCCATAGTATAAACTCTTACCTGTATGAATATAAATATAAATAAAAAATAAAGAAGCCCCATTAGCATGAATTGATTTTAATAAAAAACAATAATTTACATATCTACATATATGAACTATTGATTTAAAAGCTAAAGTTATATCCCAACAATAATGCATAGCTAAAAAAATTCCGGTAACCAATTGTATTGCAAAACACAATCTTAGCAAAGATCCAAAGTTCCATAAATAATTTATATTTGATGGAGAAGGGAGATCAATTAAAGTAGAATTAATATGTTTTATAAGATGATTATTTTTCCTAATTCTCATTATTTAGAAATATTAATATAAGAACTAAATGTTATAGAATTTATTATCATATTGGGATAAATAACTAACATAACAATAAATATTATCAATGGTAGTAAACATTGAAATTCAAAGTTTACTATGTCTCTCGAAAATTTTAAATAAGATGAATTGGAATCAAAAAATATTCTATTATAAACTCATAAAGGATAAATTAGATTTATAAAAACCCCTAATAAAATTATTAATAAATAAAATTTAAAAGCTGAAATTATTAAAAATAATTTAGTTATAAAATTTAATGTTAAAGGAAATCAAATATTAGCTAAAATTAAAATAAATGTAATTATGCTTGAAATAGGTATAGTAATAGTCTAAAGTATTTTATAATTCTAGAATGAAATCTAAAATATACAATTGAAGTTATAATGAAAAAACCTGAACTAGATAAACCATTAACAATTATCATTAATATTGATCCAATCAATCCTTCAATAGAATGTAAAAAAATACCTATAGTTACTAAGCTCATATGAGATACTGAAGAATAAGCAATTAAACGTTTTATTTGACAACATGTAGTTAAAACACCATAAACTATAGCTATAATACTCATTATAATAATTAATGGATAATAAAAACCTAATGGAAAAATTGGATATCAAAATCTAATTAAACCATAACCTCCTAATTTTAAATGTGTTCCTGCTAATAAAATTGAAACTGCTATTGGTGCTTTTACATGAGCTTGTGGAAGCCAAATATGAAATAGTACCATTGGAATTTTTACAGCCAAACCTATAAAAAATCCTATAAATAATCAAAATTGAATGTCATACAGGATTTTTATAATTAATAGATTTTCATAATTAGTAGTTCCAGTTAAAGAATATACTTTAAATATACTTATTAACATTAATAAAGATCCTATTAAAGTATAAAAATATAAATAAAAAGCAGCTTTAATTTTTCCTCCTCTATACCCTTATATACCAATCATAATGAATACAGGTATTAATATACTTTCAAATAAAATATAAATTCATAATATATCTAAAATACTCCAACTAATAAAATAACTGATATAAATAATAATATATTAAATTCTTTTATAAAATGTTTTATTGATTTTAAACTAGTTAATATAGGAATTAATAAAATACTTAAATCTATAAAATATATGGATAAACCATCAATAGAAAGAATAAAATTATTTCAATTAACAGAAATTGAATTAATTAATAATCAATTAAAATTCATAC